CTCTGTGCCGTTTTTGTCTCTCTCTCTCTCTCTGTCTTACTCGGCGCGATGCAGTCCGTTTTTCTCAATTTCGTTTTCCTTCCTTTTTTTTTTTTTTTTGAAAGTTTTCTTTGTTTTTTCGTTCGTTTTTCTTTTGATTTTGTTCACATTTATTGTAAAGAAATTTTGATGTCCTTGAAGTACCGGTACTTCGAGGCTTGTCACCGTAGCTGTAGGTTAGCCTACCGGTAGCTTTAGGGTCGGGCCTTGACAACCGGTAGGTACTGGTGGTTTTAAGCTCTGAAGAGATGCACAGGAGCATACCTTCCCTTTTACTCTGCCTCCTGAAATAACGTGCAAGTGGGCCGTGAAGGCACACGGGGATGTGGGCAGCTGCCGCTCAACCACAATCAACGTGGGCAGCCTTGTGCATAAGAGGCACAGTAAAAGGGGAGCTGCAAAAACAATGAAAGGGGTACCCCAAGGACAACCAAAAAACTGTCTAATTATAAAACTGCTTCAATATGTTGGACATCTCAAATGCTCTTGTTGTCTGCAATAAGACAAAGACTGCTTTGATTCTGAATCTATTCACCTGGGTGGAATCGGGGCTGTTGTGGGGAAAGTCTAAAACACACACACACACACACACACACACACACACACACACACAAACACACACACACACACTGTTTGTTGTGGGTGTCACTCCCGCAGCCTGGTTTTAAGCAGTAGCGCTCCTCATGTCGCATGGAGAGCTCGTGGAATTTGGCGTAGTACTTGCAGTGGCCTAGAACTAGGATGCCATCTGATTCTGCTGCACTTGCTCGTGTGGGGGGAAGGGGGGAGGGGGGCGAACGCGCAGTTGGATGCAACGGGTTCTCTCTCTCTCTCTCTCTCTCTCGCGCGCGCGCGAGCGTGCACACATGTACTTTTGTCTTTCTTGTTTAAATAAAAAGGTATCGATGGACCACGGATCAGATATGAAACTGAACAGCGCAGATACTACCGCTTGATAGTGTGAGAAGATCGGATATGAAACTGATCGAAGCAGATACTAGACTCGATCGTGTTTCTGTGGGGGGGCGGGGGAGTCGCATAGTTGGGTTACCTCTCTCTCTCTCTCTCTCTCTCTCTCTTTCTCTCTCTCTCGCACATGCGCGTGATTTTTTTTACTTTTATTTAAAGAAAAAGGTGTTCATGGACCACGGATCAGATATGAAACTGAACAGAGCAGTTCCTACGCTTTATCATTTGCGGGGGAGGACATGAAACTGATCGACGCAGATACTACACTTGATCGTGTGGGGGGGTGGGGGGGTGGGGGGGTGGGAAGGCACATAATTAGTTAGGTTGGGGTGTCTCTCTCTCTCTCTCTCTCTCTCTCTCTCTCTCTCTCTCTCTCTAGCAAGGTGCGCACGCTCATCCAGATTTTCCATCTTTTTTTTCCGATGCTCCGGTGCAGCCTTGTGGATTTTCCATTATTTTTTATTTTTTTTTAGTGGTCCGAATGCACCACGGATCAGATATGAAACTGATGGGGACATAATACTGTTGACGGTGGTGGGGGAGGGGTGTCCTAGGTAGTTAGGGTTTCTCTCTCTCTCTCTCTCTCTCTCTCTCTCTCTCTCTCTCTCTCCAGCACACACGTGCCCGTTTTTTTTATTTGTTCATCTTTTTTTTGTTGGGTCCCCATGGACCTCAGAATCAGGTATGAAACCGATCGGTACAGA